AGCCCCAAGGCCTCACTGTTGGGCTGAGAAGGGACAGAGAGGTCACCAGCAGCACTGGGATGCGTGGGGACACACATGGGGACACACGTGGGGCTCTCACCCACCTCCACAAAGCAGCCGTCCCCGTGGCGGTCCCTCCCTCTGATGGTGACGTTGCCCAGATGCAGGATGGCAGCAAGGACGGCAAAGAGCTCCAGCTGGTCAACCTCAGGGACACCTACAGGCACAGAGCGAGGGGTTGGGGTCAGATCCTGCACAGCACGAGCTGGAGAGAAGGGAACAGCCAGCAGATACCCAGCTGGCCAGCAATGGGGCACCCAACCAACAGCAAGGCGAGGGTGGTGGGATGATGGTGACAGCCCACAGGACAACGGGGATGCCCACCCCACTGCTTTTCCCCAACCCAGGACAGTACCCAGCAGGGAGAAGGCGTGCCGCGTGCTGTCCAGGTCAGATGCATCATCAGTGCCTGCACTGCAGCGGCCCTGCTGGGTGTAGTAGAAGGTCTCTGCTCCACCTAAAGAGGAAATGTGTGGGTGATGAAAGCAGCACAGCCCCACCGGGTTCCCATGGGGCAGCGCACCCAGCCAGCAGCCCCAAAGGTTTGGGGGAAGGGAAAAGGGGGGGAGGAAGGCAGAGCGCTGGCATCGCCATGGGGCCAGCCAGGGGACACAGGGCACTCACGCAGATGCAGAGCCAGCAGCTCAGGCAGGGCAGCTGACGCACAGAGCTGGTAGAAGATGTGGTAGTTCCGTTCCGCTTTTGCCTGCGGGAGTGAGAAGGGCACTGAGCACCTCCAGAGTGGGGACAAGGGGACGTTCCCACCTCCCAGTTCAACCGAGCAGCACCGGGGCCGCGTGCCATAGCAGCCACGGCCAACTCTTGGCCCTGTCCCTACCAGAGCCCCACCTGGAAGGTGACACGGGACTTCTCCAGCAGGTAGGTCTTGATGGTGGCCCCCATCACACGGGCATGGCTGAAGCCAATCTCGATGTACTTCCCGAAGCGGCTGCTGTTGTCATTCCTGGTAGTCTTGGCGTTCCCAAAGGCCTGGCAAGAGGGAGGTTCTGTATTTCCAGGTGCTCCAGGGGAGGCCAACCCCCCGCACCCATCCATTTTGTCATGGGCTGAAGGCCATGGGAAGGGTTTGGGATGGGGGACGCACCTCCATGAGCGGACTGGAGGCCAGCACCTTCTCCTCCATGCTGGAGTCCCCCAGACCACCCCCGACCGTGGTGAAATATCTCATGGCATATTTGGCTGAGGCGGTTTTCCCTGCTCCTGATTCACCACTGATGATGAGGGACTGGTTCCTACCAAACCTGGAAGGCAACGTTGGGATGGTTCCAATGGGGCTTCAGCCCTTCTCCACCACAACCCAGGGGGTACAACCCCATGTTGGGAACCCCCAACGGAATGGTTCCTCCCAACGGGGCTTCAGCCTTTTCCCACCGCAACCCAACCCAACGGGACACAACCCAAGGGGCCCAACCCCACCCCGAGGTCCCCCAAAAAGATCTCTCACCTCACCATCTGCCTGTAGGCCTCCTCTGCCAACGCAAAGATGTGGGGGTCCATATCCCCCATCTCCCGGCCGCTGTAGGCGTAGATCACCTCATCCTCATAGATGGGCAGCAGCTTGTAGGGGTTGATGGCCACCAGGATGATGCCTGCAGGAAGGGCTCAGGGCTCATACAGGGAAAGGGGGGCACTGGGTAGGGCTGGAGGGACGTGGGCTCACCGCAGTAGGTGTAGATGGCGTTGGCCTCCAGGAAGCGCACACGGAGCGAATGCAGCACTGCCGGCTCGTGCAGGTGGCTCAGAGCCACCAGGTCATCCTTGCCTGAGAGGCACTCAGGGTTGCAGAGCGGGGGCAGCTGAGAGCCCAGGGGGTAAACGAGAGGCTGTAGGGTTGGGGAAAGGGAGAATGGGTGAGCACTGAGCGGGGACAGACGGCCCCCAGGTGGGCAGGGGGCACAGTGAGCCACGCTCCTGCACAGCCACTAGGCACGCTGTGGCCTCTCCACCAAGGAACACAGGCTGGTTTGGGGTGCAAAGATGATCTTATCTCAGGACCCACACGGCCCCAACCTCACCGAGCCATCCTCCAGGCGGAGGTGCAGGATGGAGTCTCCTTCCTCATAGCCTTTGGTTATTTCTGCTGCTCTCCAGACATGGATAGAGTCAGGAATCCAGACCCGGGCACCCTGGAGGGGGCACAGGAGGGACACCCTACAGACAGCCACCAAACCAAGCGTTCCCCATGCAGCTCTCTGTATTCAACCTGGTGCTCAGCATCCCTGCAGGATGGATCCCCCCAGCTGAGCAGGGAGGCCATGCAATCACTCGAAAGCAGAACAGCAAAAAGTTGCAAAAAAGGGCTCCAAACCAGCTGGAGGCACCCAGCAGCAGGACTGGGAGATGCTCCAGCCCCAAAGTCCCTTTTGGGATCCCCCCTCCACCTTGCTGGTGAAGAAGCAGCCCTCCTTTCCTAAAGGATACCCCCATAAAAGGGGAACCCACAACTCCCTGACCCCGCTGCCGCAGCTCCAGCAGAGCACAGGGAAAGGAGCCGCTCCACGTAGGGTGGCACAGACTTTCCCTTCCACCCACAGCCTCACCTGCCCGTAGGGCTGCCCTGCCGCCATAGCCCCGCTGTCACACAGCCGGCTCCCCCCCCAGCTCACCGCCCTTTTATGGCCGCTAATTGCCGATAATTGGATAAGGGGTCCACAGCTGCTCTGCTGCCACAGCACCACACTCCGCCCCTAATAGGGGAGGGACCCTAAGAGCTCTTCGTAGGCACCTCAGGACCCTTTAATGGGGGAGAACCCAAGAGCCCCCTGAGCTCTAATGGACTCACACCACAGGGTACCCCCCCCCCTCCCCCCACCCCCAAAGTGCCGCCCCCCACCCCAGGACCACCGAGGGCACCTCGAGTTTCTCCTGTCCACGGCACCCCCTATGTAGGACACCCCAAAACTGACCCCCTTCTGCCTCACCCTCCCCTCCCCTGGGTGAATATTCATCATCCCTACGAGAGAGAACATCTCGGGGCGTTCAGCTGAGCGCTGCTCTGGGCTGGGGATCCCAGAGACCTTTGGGATCTTGTCTCCCCATCCCTTGAGGGGCCGCTCAATTAGAAGGGACCCCGGGACCCTCATCCCTCATCTCCTGTCCCCACACATGGGGTGGGAAGGGACGCATTTCCCAACCTGGGGACCTCAGTGGGATGTTTTGGGGTTTCCAGCCACGGCACACGGGCGCTGCGTTGCGTCTGCAGCAATCCCACAACGTGACACAGGGCTGCGCTAAACGCTCCGCTTTTAATTACTCAAAAACCATCGCAGCCATCAGAAAGCGATGTTCGGGGGTCGTTGTGATGGAAATGTCCTTTAGGACCTCGTTCAACTCAGACGATTCTGTGATATCCGTGAGGTTGGGGCGTTCCGGCTGGCTCCTGTTGTTTGGCGTCCCACGGCCCCAGCGGGGCAAAGTCCTGCAATGCCGGGCGGGGAGCAGCCGCTTATCGGGGTGCTGCTCGGCCCCGTGTCGGCACGGAGCCGTGTGCCCGCGGTTGGCCCCGTCCTGCCCCCTTTCTGTGCCCCCGTGGTCAAATCTCAGCTCCCAGCACTGCCCTGTTAGGGCTTTTTTTTTTTCTATTGCTGTTGTGCATTCGGCGTGGCTGGGGCAAATCTTGAGCGAGGGGAGAGCAGAGTGGATGGAAGGGGGGGAAAGGGAGGGGGGGAAAGAGGAGAAAGGGAAGGGGAAGGAGGGGAAAGGGAAGGTGGGAGAGAAAGGAAGGGAAAGGGGGAAGGGAAGAAGGGGAAGGGATAGGAAGGAGAGTAGGAAGGAAAAAGGGAAGTGGAAAGAGAAGGGGAAGGGAAGGAAAGAGGGAAGGGAAGGGGGAAGAGAAGGACGAAGGGATAGGAAGGAGGGGGGAAGGGGAAGGAAAGAGGGAAGGGAAGGGAAGGGAAGGGAAGGGAAGGGAAGGGAAGGGAAG